AAATTTTCCAAATTCAAAACGATCACATTTAAATTATCTCTACAATATATTGCAACACCTTTATGTTGATGTGGGTCCCTACAAAAACTAGACGTCAAATTATAATTTGGTATATTAATCGTAGTTAAATTGTCTAATTTTTGCCAATGCTCTGATGAACAGATTACATCAAAGTTGGAATAAACCAAAAAAGCGCATAAATCATGCACCTTAAATACATTGAATATTTATATGGAATATTTGTAAATTGTTTTCAACAATAGTATCAACATCTTTAGTTTCCATGATTGTGGATCTGCCTCCTCTTGTACCTGTGGCGACATCCTCCTTTTCCAAAAAAACCTGAATACTAAGGCTCCACTAGGCCATATTGCTTGTCTCCATGCTTTTGAAAATTTCTCTTGTTTTATGATTACCTTCATAGAAGCATGTAAGTTCAGGATATTTAGATGTATGATTTTCACAAATCACTTGTGGAAAATTTTTTACAAGAATTTTCTTTAGGTCCTCAGGCATTGTGGATGGATCCAGCCTCGTTACATGCAGTGAAGTATATTTGGCGACTGTGCTAATTCCAGTATCTTCATAATTTCGCCCCATAACAAATCGTCTATTTTTTCGAGGGTTCTGTCTTGGTTAAACTTTCATCCACTCACCTTCTTCCTTGTTTGTAAGATCCTGAATCTCCTTCATTTTATTTGTTGACAGGGCATCTGAAATTGCTGTTTTAACTTCGCTAGAGCTAAAAGTCCTTTGTTGTGGAATATTTTCTGACTGTATGAAAGACTTTTCACTTGCGCGGGTTGAGGGATAAATTTGTAATGTTTCTGTGTTTATGGTGTCCTGTAGCAGATTTTTGTTCTCCCATCATAGATATGCCTGCCCTCTGTGGTTCAGTAGAAGGAGGTTGATTGAACGTTTTCGGTATTTTATGTTTATTCTGTGGTATATTGTTTAATTTTCTGCCATCCATAGATTGACTAGTCTTGTTGCCAATTTCTTTCCAGGTTTTTAACTTTTTCTAGCAATAATTCGTTGTTTTGCTTCAACACATTGTTTTTGTCACTAACTTCATTCAAAAGTTCTTTCAAATACAAAATTTCCATTTCACGTCTCTGTTTATCTAGGTAAAGAAGTGCAGGTGAATCAGGTCCTATAGTAACCTCACTTTCACAGCACACTATTATACTATCAAATAATACAACCATTTTCTTCTTTTCAGCACAGCTTTCGTGATATACTGATAGACGATTTTTGCATACCAATACTGCACATGATTTACCACAACACTTCATTTTTGATTTCTCTAAATTTTCATTTTCTTCATCTCTATCATCGATAACGACCGAATCACCCGCCATCTTGATACTATCTTTGTATACAAAAATTGTGGAAAATATCTTGATGAAATCATAGTCAACAATTGTTGAAACATTGGCGTTATTATTTACAAAAAATCAGAAACGAATCGAATTGTTACAAATACCAAAGATCAAAAGCGTTGCATTCATGATCTGCCAGCAGACCTATTTCGATCTGCCATAAATTTCATCAGTGGCACTATAGTTCGGGTTGCCAAAATTATCGAAGCTTCCATGTAAATACGAGTTTGATTCATAAACCAGTACTATTGTGAATTAGGGTTTGATCGTTGCGCTGGCACACAATCACATGACACACACTAAACTAATGTGGGATGTTCATCTGACCCTTGCTAAATTTCCATATTACAGAATACACGTGTTTGCTAACGGTACGGCACATTATTGGCGACCCACCTGTAATACTATAGGACTACTTGATCAATCATCTACACTAAAAGTGGGTAGGTAATGGAATATTTAACATATCACAATGTAACACGATGTAACATAATGTATACAGAACACATAAAATCTCGAACCAATAAAACAATTCGATGATATGAAAAATAAAAATTGAAAAATTCAGAAAATTCATAGAGTATGTGATGTAATATATCGAGTGGTCCAACGAAAAGTATGCACCTTGTTTTTCTCTTTTTTTTGTAACTTAACGCAAAAATGCTCGGACAGGTCAATTTTGCTTTTGAGAGGGACATATTTTAGATGTATTTTTCTACCTGTGCCTTCAACCCCCTAGCGAGGGTGAGTAACAACCCTAAAATTTTAAATGGAAAGTGGGGTCGAGTGATATATCATTTGAAAGGACACAAAATTATCTTTCTAATGATATCTAATTTGTTGTATTCACTTGAATAGTTATAAAAAAAGCAAGAACATTTACTCGATATTTGTGGTGTTAATGAAAATGCGGAAAAAACGGCATTTTTATCACTACTACATTCCTCAATTTCTCTCGTGCGTTTTTTGGTTCAAATAACAACAGCAGATAAGTGTACAAAAAGAATTCAGGCAAACGTTCATTGATTCAGTTCGGTTGCTTTTGAAATTATTTCAACTTTACTGTAAAAATGGTTCATTCCATTCCTGAACGAGTTGAAGTTGTTAAACATTATCAACATAATAGTTGTGCTAGACTTACTGCTCGCCTCTTTAATAACAGTCATCCCGGAAAAAATGTATATGATTCGTTCGTTGCCAAGTTAGTCCAAAAGTTTGTCGATACCGGATCTGTCTGTAATGTGAAACACCAGCCACGGAAACCGATCAGAAATGAAGCAGTGGAAGTCGCTGTTTTAGGACATGTTGAATTGAATCATACTCAAAGAACCCGTCAGCTTGCTGCAGCCTCAGGTGTCTCCCGTTCGTCCATAATACGGATATTAAAAGCCTATAAATTTCATCCGTACAAAATTAAATTAGTACAGGAACTCAATGAAGATGATCCTGATAGAAGGCTGCAATTTTGTGAACAACTGAGACAGCTACTAATTGATGATCCGCACCTATCACTCAACACGTGCTTTTCCGATGAGAGTACATTTTTTTGAATGGAGCTGTGAATAGGCATAATTGCCGTTACTGGGAAGACAGTAACCCACACTCATTCCGAGAGGTCAATACCCAGTACCCTCAAAAAATCAATGTCTGGTGTGGCATATTAGGTAGTCATATCGTAGGGCCACTTTTTATTCCTAGGAATTTAAGTGGTGAGGTCTACCTGAACATGCTTGAAGATACAATTGATCCTCTCATAACAGAAATAATTGAAAATCATAATGATGATCGGCTTCATTTCCAGCAAGATGGAGCACCTCCTCACATGTTGCTCCGGTAAGACAGTTTTTAGATGACCAGTTTCCTGGACGGTGGATTGGAAGGAGAGGCCCCACCGAATGGCCTGCCAGGTCACCTAATTTATGCCTTTAGACTTTTTCCTTTGGGGACACTTGAAAAATAAATGTTTTGCTACGTAGCCCAAGTCCGTAGAAGATCTTCGCCAACGAATTACAGCAGAGTGCAAAAGTATAACACCTGATATGCTACAGAATGTTAGGAATAGATTTGAACAAAATCTGTATTGTTGTATAGAATCAAATGGGTGACATTTTCAGCAGTTGTTGAAGTAGGATTGTACTAAGTCAATTACACATTTCAAAGTACTGGGTTGTAGTTTTTTTCTTCATAATACCTACATGTTTGAGTGAAATACAACAAATTTGGTATCATTGGAAAGATGATTTTGTGTCATTTTAAATGATATATCACTCAACCCCACTTTCCATTTAAAATTTTAGGGTTGTTACTCACCCTCGCTAGGGGGTTGAAGGCACAGGTAGAAAAATACATCTGAAATGTTTTCCCCTCAAAAGCAAAATTGACCTGTCTGAACATTTCAGCGTTAATTTACAAAAAAAGGAGAAAAGCAAGGTGCATACTTTTCGTTGGACCACGCTGTATATCTTCAACTGAGCTTCGAATGAATATAAAGTAACAGAATATTCAATGTGGCATGGTAATTGGTTGAGATCATTCAATCCTCTGAAAATCACGATTGCTTTGTTTTTGTCCTGGAAATGTGGAATTGATTGGTGGTTCTTGTGTTGTAGTCATGAATTTGATTATTGTACGTAATGAAGGAATCAAAATATGTTGGTAATCAATTTCTGGTTATTTTATAAATAAATATCATACTTGAGGAATACCAGTCTATCTGCCATATCATGGCACTTGAGGGCACTCAGCATGCATTGAATGGGTGTGTATCTATTACATTTAAGATGATTCTCAAACCTCGATTTTGCAGTTTCTGTAACTTCTGTATATTGTTTTTATCTAAAAGATAAAGCAGAGTGGAACAATAGTCAAAATAGGGCTGTATAATGGTTCTGTATATTATTATTTTTGAAAAACCTTGGGGTACACCTATATTGTGTGAAATTTCATTTGGGAAACATTTTCCCACTCTAGTTATTTGTGACCTACCATTGAGATAATTTTTGAACCAACTTAAGGCTGTTCCATCGATTTCATAATATCTCAGTTTACGAAGAAATATTTGCCTATCGATAGTTTCAAATGTCCTCTTGAAATCAAAGAACACTGCTACTATAAATTCATCGCTATCGATTTCATTCTTCCATTTTGAAACTGTTAATTGAAGGGCAGTCTCACAAGAGTGGTGTTCTCTAAATCCGAATTGATTTCCTATAAACAGGATATTTTCAGTAAAGTACCAAGAAATTTGTTCATGTACAACAATTTTCAATACTTTCTCAATAATCGGCAAAGTATTTATTGCTCTGAAGGCTGACATTTCAACTGCATTATTTATTTTTGGGATGGGAATAACTGTACTTTTTTCAACATATTTAGGAAGTTACCGAACGACATTGATGTTTGTATTAAGTTTAGGAGATAAAATCCAAGTGTAATTCAGCATTGCCTTTATTTTTGAGAGAAAAAGTAATTGACATCAGCTTACTTATATCAATCTTCTCGAATTCAACAAATCTCGTTCCTATATCATTTAGATTTTAAGGAGACCATTGTGTTATACTAACAACAGTATTGGAGAGTATAAATATGAGTACAATCATAAATATATCATAACTTTTTTTGCAGGCATTTAGTTCTACACAAAATCTGCGTTCGGTGAACCTCACCATTTTCAGTGATGAAGAGTGCGTGGACAGTTACCATGATATCGAAGAAGGTGGAGTTAATCCTGAGACTGAACTATGTGCTGGAGTTCCAGAAGGTGGAAAGGGGCCGTGCCATGTTAGTATTCAGTGAAAATACTATCAAAAATATAAGCAAGTTTGATCGTCTATGATTAAAACACAAAAATTGGGATTTCATTTATGCAGGCATATATTGAATGGGGCAAGGTATAGATGTCGGACAAAATTTATATGAAAAGGTATCGTTTGAGTAACTTTCACATGAAAAACCCAACGGTGTGTTTTCACTTGTAGCAAAGAGGCTGCTTTTGACTCCTAGTTCAAATGAAAGTATTTTGATTCTTTATATAACGATTTTCATTACTTAGAATTTGGATAACTGGGGTTCCTCAAGGTTCAAACTTGGGTCCATTATTATTCATTCTGTTTGCTAATGACATTTCTGATAGTATCAAATCTTAAAAACTTCTTTTTGCCGATGATATGAAGATTTTCAGGGACATTGAAGACTATATTCTCTGATTGTATATCATTACAAAACAATATCACTGAGTTACATGAATACCTGTCGTGGTGTTGAAATGATGATTTGGTGTTGGGAAAAAGTTCCAGTAACATTTATTTCTTTGTGGAGGAATTGGAATCCGCGGCTTCCAGTTACGACTTTTTTATAGCAACATTGTTAGATCCTAGAGATCCTACTTCAGTTTCTCTATACAAAAATGCAATTCTCATTATAACGACGGAATGACAGTAATCAGAGCTGAAACAATAATAAACGGTACAGCGGTGTCAGCAGCAAACAACAAGAGTAAGGGGTTCTGCTAACTCTCTGACTCGAAATCGAAGAAGTCGTTATCTCCAATGTTCTTTTTCTGGTGAGAACATCTACTCACCATATAATATACATATTGAGAGTTAGGGAGCAATAAATATAATGAGTTTTTTCAACACTTGCTGATATGACCATAACGATATATTTCTCAATAGGACATTTGCATGTCTCGTGCTATTCATATATGTACCCATTTCAGGGCGATTCAGGAGGGCCTCTTGTTATTGACGGTGTTCAATATGGAATTGTGTCATATTCCAAAGGATGTGCTGTAGAAGGGTATCCCGGAGTATTTACCAAGGTTTCAGGATACCTCGACTGGATCGAAAAACATAGATGAAGAGAATGAAATAGCAGAGATATATTCTAGACTTGCACATATGATTATAATGGTTCTATACGATTGTTAAATTCAAAATAAATAAAAAAATATTTCGAATGGGAAAATAATGGAATAAAAAGCATTTGGCTATTCACTTCTCCATTTTCATAAAAAATGCGGAAAACATCTGAGAGAAATAGAGAAATTGAGTTCAAAATGATATCTTTACAAATAATTGTAGATCATGCGCAAAATTTTCAGAAAAAAACTGGAACGAACTGGAAAGTAATTGAAACAATTACTTTCTCATGAACATTGAATTACACAGGAATCACTTTTTCCCATTCAATAAGTTTTTACTCCAGACATTCAATGTGGAATTCAAATAGGTTTCATTCACAAGAACGCTGCACAACATGATATAATAAAAGATCATTTATATACATTTCCACTCATATGAAAATCTATTAAACGTAAAATTCACTGAAGTGATGATTCCTGAAAAATATTTTTGTTTCGATTTCCAGATTGAGTAATATTTATTCAGATTTTTTTTTTCATTTAAAGATAATGTAAGTGTGTGGAGAGACTGTCTATATTAAAATTTTTCTTCAATACCAAAATACCCAGGATAACCATTTTTTTTTTATTTTCAAAATGGGAAGTCTAAAATATCATGATTTGCAATTTTGAAAACATAACTTTGTTTTGTACAATAATTTTAACATCTCTGATTTGTTCTATGTACATCCATTCGATTTTGCTCTGATTGGTAGCTGAACTTGAACTTTCAGCTCGAACTTGGAAACTTGGGCATAAGGTTACCTGTGTAAATATGTAAATACTATGCCCAAAGATTTTATCATTTTTCATTTGATTAACACCATAGATTGCTGAGGTGAGTGGGGTGATGACTACTACCCAGGACCTTCCGATTCATTTTTCGGTTTTGAGGACATTATCTACATTATTCTTTTTTTTTAACATCCAACATAAATAATTTTTTTACCTATTTCATATTCAACTTTTTAGTTTCTGATTCAAGCCCTGTCATTTGATACCCATACTGAGGTAGTGGTGGAGAAATATGTAATCCGCTATTTTGTAGCTGAGACCATCTTGAATTTGCATCTTTTTGAAAGTAGTTTCTTGAGGTAGTTGTGGAAACGTGTGATTCCGAATTCATTAAATTTTATTGTCATCAAATCTAAATGTGTGTTTCAAATATTAGATGAATCTGTCAGCAGGACAGATTACTAAATTTGACCGACACAAACAAACAGGGCAAGCTGAATGAAACAGTTCAATAAAAAGTATCACTTTTTTGTACGATGAAACCACTTGAATGAATTCACCATATCGTATAGAAGTCATAGACATTTTTTCAATGTAATAACCTTTATCCATAACCAATGATGCTGTACGTCTCAGCTCTAAAACTTCAATTTGTTGAATAATGGCAAAATCAATCTTTTCAATGTCGATCCAAATTATCCATTTCCAGAAAATTGTGAAATAACGGTTTGAGAATATGAAATATGCGCACCTCCATGACAATGACGACGACTACGTTCACTCTTGTATTGGTAGATACTTGTTGCTGTCATCTTCGAACTCAACATATACTCATCACCTATCCAAATAATTCAGGTTATCTAAACTGAATGTGAAAGTATGAAACTCCAATCGCTATTGAAAATTATCAGAAAAAAAGTGAAGGTCTTTTAGAGTCATTATTAGTCATATGACGTGCATATCGCTCAAGGTTATGTGTCGTCAGTCAAAGTCAAGGTCTAGTGGAGGGGGGCGGTCAGGGGCGTCATTATCAGTCTACTCCAATTCAAAAGTGAATTTCGAATTGTCATACATAATTTTCTGACATATCTATATCAGCATGAAATAACAGCATTCAATTGTGAGTAATTTTCAAAAAAAACTGAGTTTCATTAATTAAATTGCCGTCAACATGCCTTTTACCATAATTTGGTGAATCCACCAATAATATTGCTCGTTGTTTGAGAAAGAAATACTTGGACATGGCCTCTAGAACAAATGATGATTCGAGCAAATTAATTGAAAAGACAAAATTTCAAAGTCGGATGGATCAAGGGAATATTACTTGATTTGTGGTTCTTACCCAAAACTTCATAATTACTAAACAGAATCTTTTCGCAGAGAATAAAAGACCATAGTTTATACCTAAATTGATGTGAATATTGGAATATTGAATGATTTGAGTTTTTTTATTGATTAGAACACTAGTCAGTTGAAATTCAGTTAGTATGAATATACCTGAAAAAGCTATTGTATAGCAAAACACGTGATTCGGATTCGTAAGCTGTACAGTGGAAATCCCACAATGAAGTGTCAATCGAATATATAAAAAGAGCCTGTGATTGAATTGATGAATGAACAGTTTTTATCAATCCAGAAAATAGTGTCCGTGTATCATGAGAAAAAAGCCACAAAGTTGAACGAGACCAAAAAAGAGTAAAATTATTGAACTATTTTTTATTCGATTACACATACTACTAACTTATCTCAAATTACATCATCACAATCTGCCGATGATGATGACGACTGGAACATAACTGTTACAATTCTATAAGTTGAAACTTTTTGAAGCTGCAAAATTGAATTACGTAATTTTGCCGTGATCGCTTTTTCATATATACTTGATATATGCTATTCTTCGATCCAGAAGATATTTTGTGAGATCCTCTGGGCAAGAAGCTCAAACTGTATATCATATTTCAATACAGTCGAATCAGTGCTGAAAATAAAATTGTATGTTACATATCATGTATTCATTCGTTATTACCGATAAAAAAAGAGAGTGTAGCAAAAAACATCAGCAGTAGCTGAGAGTAAATCTGAAAACATAAGGAGATAAACATGGAGTAGAATTATTCATTTGACTTTTGCAGAGTTCACGACAGAGTAGAATATGATGTGATTCAACTTTGAAATTTCAGCGTCTGTGACCAGGAGCAAGTTTTCTTGAGAATTCGCAAACTTGGTCATCAAGAACATCACAATAATTATTATTTTTCAGGATTTTCGAAGACTCGTTTCTGGAAAAATTCAAAATTGAGTTTTACTAATTTGGAAGTCAATGCTTTCTATCGTTAATATCTACATACCAGCATATGGACCTAGTAAATCAAAATAATCATTTATACTTGCAAGTCATATGAAAATTGCCTTTTCAGGGTGAACTTTCCAGTTTGTCTTTTATTAAACTTCAGCAGATTCTCTATAGATTCAGCTTCGTTTATTTTTCAGATCATGAAAGGTTGTAAACCCAAAAGAAGTAGGAAGTACTGAGTCCTCCACAAAATAATGTCTTTCACGGTATGGGCCACAATATGTCAGGGACTATATAGATTGGTGAGCGCGGCCCATTGGAATGGTCTGCTCGTCAACTATAGATTTCACTACTTCCGAAACTTTTCTTCGAGGCTATATCAAATCGAGAGTTAATGTTACGCAACCTGGGTGCTAGTTTTACTCCAGAAACATTCCGAAATGTTAGAATTCCAGAATGTTGGAGATGAGTTCAAGAGTAGACTGTTTTACTGTTAGGTGGTTCGAAGCGTTCGTTTGTTACATGCCTTGGGAATGAACACTTATCGATTGCAGAAAATGTAACTAATTTATTTCACTTCTCGAAGGATATACAACGTGACTCACGGTCGATGGTAGGTTAGACGTTTCTGGAAAACGCAAAGCATGATTTTTCTGAAAATTTCACCTCTCACATTTCCTTACCTGTTCTATCGATCTAAACTATTTTCAGCATTGCGGCGTTGCCACTTCCATCAAAAAGTCCTAGCAACTTTATTTATTTAAATGGAACAACATTTAATTTGAGTTTATACTTTGTGAACCAGCTTTTGACTAAGTTTTTGTTCTCGTCAACAGTACGAATCAAATCGATGTGTGACTTATCCGATTCCACAAGTGTGGTGTCATCGGCAAATAAAATACATTTTGTTGGTGTAATACTTTGACATAAGTCGTTTATGTACACAATAAATAAAAAATGTCCAAGTAATGAACCCTGAGGTACTCCATGTTGTATCGGTTTGATGTCGGATTTGATATTATTGAGATCAATACACTGAAATCTGTTTTCAAGATAGGAGCTGAGGAGACTCAAAATAGTACCTCTTGAACCATAATGCAAACGCTTTGGTCAAGTCGCATAAAGTCAAGGAAGTGTGCTTGCACTGATCAAGACCCTCCACTATGTCATTCACCATCTTGTAAATAGCCTGAGTTGTGGATTTGTTTTTCCGAAATCCATATTGAGATTCACTAAAATACAACCTCGTTTCAAAGTAGGAGTATAATTGCTCTTTTCGATGATTTTTTCAATTATGGAGACAATACTAATTGGACGATAGTTGTCTAAAAATTATTTATTACATTTTTCAAACAAAGGAAAAACTCTGGATATTTTGAGTATGTCTGGAAAAACGCCTTCCTTGAAGATTTGATTAATGAGGTTCGTTATTGGCATGAATATTTGTTCAGCAATAGCTTTCATTAAATACCCATTCAGATCATGTATGTCACGTGAACTAGAATTTCCCAAGTTATTGATAATACTCAGTATTTCCTGTGGGCATACTGGTTCTAAAAATGATGAATCTACAGGAGAATGAAAATTCCTGAAGTCATAGTCTTTTTCAGAAACTACTTGTGGAAAAGATTTTATCGTATCTACAGCTACAGTACAAAAGTGATCAATGAAATCATTTCCAGAAAATTCTGTTTTAGTTTGACCTTCACTGTATATTTTATTTCTTTCTGAGTTAATTATATCCCAGCAAGCTTTTGAAGTATTTGAAGAGTTTTTAATATATTCGTCGTAGGCGTGTTTTTTAAGATTTATTATTTCATTATGACATTTCTTTTTGAAGTGTTTATGAACTTCAATATCTTGCGGGCTGCCTGACATTTCGGAAATAATTTTAACAGCTTCGAGACAGCTTCTCATCAATTTAAGTTCTTCATTGTACCAACTGATTTTAAAACGGCCATTTTCACGGTGTTTTGATTTTTTCAACATGGGAAATGATTCTCGCATAACATTTTGTAGATTATTAATAAAATTTTCACAGTTTGTAGCTGTATCGTGATTAGCACACTGAATCACGTTCCAATTTACTACTGATAGTGATGCTTTCAAATTACTCAAGCCTTGTTGTGTGAAGCACATTCTGGACATTTCACATTGTTCTGTATCCATTGATGGTTCTATGGTCAGAGATAAAAATTGACCTTTATGGTCAGACATATACGGCTCCAGAACACCTAGATTAGAAATGTGGCCGGTAAGATTTGTTACGATGTTGTCAATACAAGTTTTTGATAATCTAGTAATTCTGGTATAGTCTGAAATTATTATATCCAATCCAAATGATTGAAGCATACATTTCAAATTAAATAGTGACGTTGAATTNTATTATCAAATAACACAACCATTTTCTTTTTTTCAGCACAGCTTTTGTGATATACTGATACACAATTTTTGCATTCCAATACTGCACATGATTTACCACAACACTTCATTTTTGATTTTTCTAAATTTTCATTTCCTTTATCTCTATCATCGATAACGACCGAATCACCCGCCATTTGATAATATCTTTGTATACGAAAATTGTGCAAAATATCTTGATAAATTATAGTCAACAATTGTTCAAACATTGGCGTTATTATTTACAAAAAATCAGAAACAAATCGAATTGCTACAAATACCAAAGATCAAAAGCGTTGCATTCATGATCTGTCAGCAGACCTATTTCGACCTGCCATAAATCTCATCAGTGGCACTATAGTTCGGGTTGCATTCACAACTCAAAAACTCACTCTGTACTGAGTAGGACACTGCTGAGTAGGAAGTAGTGGGACTACAACTCCACTAACGAACTCTCCTTTTATGTAAGCGGTAGAAGACAGTAGATTACAATAATTGTATGTGATAAAAAAACACAACGAAGGTTGCCAAAATTATCGAAGCTTCCATGTAAATACGAGTTTGATTCATAAACCAGTACTATTGTGAATTAGGGTTTGATCGTTGCGCTGGCACACAACCACATGACACACACTAAACTAATGTGGGATGTTCATCTGACCCTTGCTAAATTTCCGTATTATAGAATACACGTGTTGGCTAACGGTACGGCACATTATTGGCAACCCACCTGTAATACTATAGGACTACTTGATCAATTATTAACACTACAAGTGGGTAGGTAATGGGTAGGTAGGTAGATAGGTAATTATATTTAACATATCGAATGTAACACGATGTAACATAATGTATACAGAACACATAAAATATCGAACCAATAAAGCAATTCGATGATATGAAAAATAAAAATTAAAAAATTCAGAAAATTCATTCGTATATATCTTCAACTGAGCTTTGAATGAATATAAAGTAACAGAATATTTAATGTGGCATGGTAATTGAAAAACACGATTTCATAGATTGCTTTTTTCTTGTCCTGGAAATGTGGAATTGATTGGTGGTTCTTGTGTTGTAGTCATGAATTTGATTATTGTACGTAATAAAGGAATCGAAATATTTTGGTAATGAATTTCTGGTTATTTTATAAATAAATATCAAACTTGAGGAATACCAGTCTATCTACCACATCATAGCACTTGAGGGCACTCAGCTTGCATTGAATGCGTGTGTATCTATTAAAACCGGCAACACTACATTGCCCCATAAACAATGATTTATTGTACAACTAGCAACGCCGAACCTGCCATACTGGCATGTATTGACATTTCACAGATGCAGCCTTATGAGTCTAGTGTTTACAGTGTCCTTCTTCAACCAATAGATAGTTCAGCTAGTGACTCATAGATGACTCTGTGTGTTCTATAACTTTTGTTGTGTTCCTATACTTTTGTATCGATGAATCGAGCGCTTATCTTTGTGTGGTTCTGATAACAGGACATGAAACAATTCTGTACGATAAATTACCCAAATGAATCTCTTAATATCCTATACGCAAAGCCACGTAAATTTGTGCTGACAGCTTGTGCTGACAGCTATACTGACAGCTTGTACTTTTATTACTTTTCGATAAACCAAAACTAGATATACTTCTTGCCAGTAGAATATTCCAGTCATTTCCTAATGATTACTGAAATTTCAATTTCACTAATTTCATATACACAAAGAGTGTAGTTTAACAGCAGTTGGTACTTGTGACAAACCAATTCAAAGTATATTTGTCGTGGTCTGCTGGTTGATATGACTGAATTCCGTCCATGATTGTGGTTGGCATTATCAATGGTGATGAGGCAATGAAAGGAGTGATCTTGCTGTTATGATAGCAGATAATGCTTTATCGCCTTTGATAATCTGTACCGTAGTTGATTGAACGTCAAACAATGGCCAACAAACCAAAAAAATTGCATATATCATTATTAGCATGCACTCATCAACGTAATTGTCATTTTAGCTGAAAGACCGATGAAAATAAATAAAACATTTTAAATTATAGGCAAGCACCTGAGGATTATTTTATCGCATATGGAAACACAAATGTTAGCTCAGGTAATAAAATGCAGATCGCCAGAGTAACATATCATGCAAACTTCATCTACCTACCACCCTATACATATGACATAGGAATAATCAAGGTAAGAAATATTCTACCAGTTGATAGATATTAGTAATCATTCTTCAAGAAGTCATAATAACAATAGAATTTGATGGGTTTAGGAAAGTTTGGGCTACACTGTATGTCTATATAAAATGATGGAGATATTTAAATTTGCTCTGATGCCACAGATTTTGAACATGTTAGCCATGTTTACTTCTCTTCTGTTTACTTGATATATCGAATTATCCTCTGCAACTTGAGTGTCTACGCTCGAATTTTCACAAAATTTCAATTAATTTGAAAAGTAAATTGTAAAATAATATAATATTGTTTAAAAACCTAGGTTTTCAAAAGTATAAGGAGATTGCATAAGAAATATCAACTAAATTAGGTAATATCTATGTATTCACAGCTCACTGAACCAATTTCATTCGGAGAGACTGCTCAGCCCGTGAAGCTACCCAAACCACACGAGAGCACACCAGCCAACAAAACAGCTTCATTAGCAGGTTGGGGTACTATAACAGTGAGTATTTCGTTATTAGTTCACAATCTGTTTACATTACACATATACTAAAATTGGAACGATACAGAAAAGATTAGCATGGCCCCCGCGCGCAAGGATGACACGCAAAATCGTGAAGCGCTACACATTTTTTCAATTACATCACAGACAATAAGGGGTAATACATGGACCAGGTATTTCAACCACAGGTCTATCACAAGGATATCCAATTAGCCCAATACTATTTAACATTTATTTGACATCTCTTTTTGATAGAATACCAACACATAGTGAAATTATAACATATGCGAATCATAGTAAAAGGGGATAATACAGAAAATATAATTTGGAAAATGAATCAAACAGTGGACATAATAAATGAATGGATGATTGAAAATGAATTAGAAATGCATATAAACAAAAGCAAAACAATGTAGTTTAATTCAGGGAGACGATAACAGAACACAACAAATGTTACAATAGGGAATGAATATTTGAAAAATGTATCAGAAATTGAATATTTCATCAGTTCGGACTTCCATTGTCTGATATAATATAAATTGATTCGAAAACCCTGAAAAACCAATTAAAAAATTAGTAAGATTAACCGACAACANCTAATAGAAGATGGCAGTGTCATCGACATATGTAAAAAAGTTTCCCGTGGTTCGTTTTCGGAACAAATCATTCAGATAGATGTTGAATAATATTGGTCTCAAAATAGTGCTTTGCGGTACACCATTTCAATATAAGAATATAGGCTTTCACGGCCGAATTGATTGAATAGAACGAATTCAGGGATACTAGGCCGTGGTCGAATGGAACCTAAATTACCAATTATTTCTATTGCTACTACGACAGATCTCATCAGTGGTATATGCGTTTACTGCGAGGGCGAGAGTTATATTTCAAGGTGTCAGTAACGATTGGTTGGCGGTTGGCTAGCTATGTGTTCACTGGTATATATACTTTCGTAGGGTGATGGTGGCCCCACGGTCGACCATTTCTTCGACTTTTTGAAATAAACTTGAGCCATACGTTTGTGCCCTAACTGAACTTGATTTGTTTCAGCTATGATGACTTGTTCAAATATTGGCTTTTCAAAAATCATTTCGTTACAAAGGTTTGATAGTTTTACACCTGAGGAAGCCAGAGTTTCTACATAAAGAAAGACTCAATTATTTTATTGTCAAGCATCACCCTGAAGTTTATCATGTCAGTGCTTTCATTGAAAATAAATTCTTGCCAACTTTTGGTACATATAGAGTTTCAAGTTTACGCAATTCTTGACGTACTTCTCAACTGCATAAACTTCAATAGAATCCACGCTTTAGCAATACAACCGAGTCATCACCAATTTGGATGGATTTTGAATGAGGTAGATATTGAAGAAGATCGATGAACCATTCAGGATGAAAAGTCATATGTTTGGAAGCTGCGTTATCTGCAAGCCAAACATCTTCATATCTCTGTATGCATATATTCCTTTCTTCTGCACTGGACGCTTGGAATTTCTGCTCTTGTTTATTTTTTCCGTTCTTATTTTTGACGACATTCTGCCTTCATATGACCTTTTTTCGATAATGGCAACAAAATGGTATGAATTTCTTTCTATATTGAGACTATTCTTCAGAATCAATTCTTGTTTGAGAACTAGAATCAGGCTCATTTATGTGGACGGCAGCTAAGGCAGAAGACATTTCATCACTTTGGGCAAATGTAATTCTTCTTTCAGTAATCTTGATGCATGATTATCGGATGTCTGCTTGTTCTCCTCGAATGAATCCAAAACTATGATAAATAGTCCATATTTAGGAAATAAGCCACTGGTAACTTCAGTCGTTCTACCATCTTCTTCATTGTCGTTGCTGAATTAAATATTTCAGAGCAGCAGTAAATTACTTCAATGACAGTGACACTGATCTATGATATTTTCAGTTAACCAGTTAGGTGATCTAATAATTTTTCTGAAGAAAAGTTGATTGGGTAACAGGATCAATTTTCTCTTAAAAAACACTTGTTTTCTTTCCAACGTTTCGAGTCTATTTAAATTCTTCTTCAGGGCTTGAAAAGTAGTTTCTTCGCATTTATTTCATCTAACGATTTTTAAAATAGTAACATTAACACGAAGAAACTTCTTTTCTAGTCCTGAAGAAGAATTTGAATAAATTCGAAATGTTGGCAAGCAAACAATTATTTTTTTAAGAAAAAAATTATTCTGTTACTCAACCGACCTTTCTTCAGATATTTTCAATATTTAGGAAAATTTTTATACAATTTGTTGTAATTTGTAGAAAATCGAACTGTAAATTATACTGAACCAAGTTATAGTTATCAACTTCGAAACGATACATTATCAACACCATAACACACTCAATCAAAGATCATTTCCAAGCAATCATTAAAAATGAAATATATTACATGAAATGAACATGGATTTCTTCAATAGTACTTTTCACAAGAAATCCAGGTTTTGTGAATCTTGTTAGGTGAAAAATATGAATGGATGTGGATCAAAAATGAACAACTTTGTTTTGATAGAATGGAAAATTCAATATCATCGTCGGTCATTTCATTTTATTTAGATCCTTAAAAACTTCTCACTCTCGATGCAAGTCCATATGGGTTAGGTCCTAAGATAAGTCAAAAAAATGAACCAACAGAATTTGCGTCTGTTTCTTCAACTGACGCCCAAGATAGGTACTGAATGTTCATCAATAGAGATAGAGATAGATAGAGTTTTATTTAACCATGTTACGTATAAATACATTACGCAGTTGTCAGTTGATTGGTCAAACCACCAACACTGACATAAAAACTTGGCAAGTTGACTTGGGTGTCACACCAATTGATGGTTCCACTTATATTTCGCTTGCGTTTACGCAACTATTTTTATCAAGTACTTACTTGGTTTTTCTCATTTTGTCTTCAATCGAGGACCGACTGCCCGGTACTGACGATGCCCAATAGGCTGAAACAGCTGTCTACCGGTGGCTCTTAAATTGAAATCAATATGGGAGTGATCAAAAAGTAATATATATTGTAATTGTAATTGCCGCTTTGCTGCAAAAGATAACACATTTTGTCCGACATTGATACTTTGCCCCATTCAGTATATGCCTGCATAAATGTATTTCAATCATAGACGATCAACCTTGATTATATTTTTGATAGTATTTTCATTTTATACTAACATGGCACGACCCCTTTCCACCTTCTGGAACTCCAGCACATAGTTCAGTCTCAGGATTAACTCCACCTTCTTCGATATCATGGTAACTGTCCACGCACTCTTCATCACTGAAAATGGTGAGATTCACCGCATGCAGATTTTCTGGAGTAGTAAATGCCTGCAAAGAAAGTTTTAAGATATATTTATGATTCATTCAGTATCTTTCTTGGGCATCAGTTGAAGAAACAGACACAAATTCTGTTAATTTTCCTGACTTATCTCAGCATCAAACCCATATGGACTTGCATCGAGAGTGAGAAGTTTTTTAGGATCTAAATAAAATGAAATGACCGAAAATGATATTGAATTTTTCATTCTATCAAAACAAAGTTGTTCATTTTTAATCCACACCCATTCACATTTTTCACCTAACAGGATTCACAAAACCTGGCTTTCTTATCATAAGGTCTGTTGAAGAAATCCATGTTCATTTCATGAGATAAATATTTTTTTTAATGATTGCTTGAAAATGGTTGTTGATTGAGTGCGTTATGTTGTTAATAATACATCAAATGTATCGTTTCGAAGTTGATAATTGAAACCTGGTTTAGTATAATTTACAGTTCGATTTTCTACAAATTACAACAAATTGTATAAGAATTTTTCTAAATATTAAACATATCTGAAGAAAGGTCGGTTGACCCGCCATAGGCTATAGGTGCTTTGCCGTTCAGGCCAGATCTGGCCAGCATATTCTGGGCCGGAATAAGGCCGATCAAAATTGTTTGCTGGGTAGTTATTGAAATATTTGTGGTTTCATGAATTCATAACGGTATCTAAGAGATAATTGCTTTTGATTTTTGTTTTTTTTTTCGAAACGTTAAAATATTCCCAATGATTTTTTTCTGTATTTCCAAAAATAGAGAGATTTCTGAATGACTTTTTGAAAAGAATGATATTTAATGCACAAACCAAGGACTGAACACAACTTTCCTCATCATGGTGTTTCTTGCGAAGGACCATCTTCTATCACAAATAACTTTTTTTGTGACATTCAGAGTAAAATAGTTTTTAATTTGTTGCATACTTCTTGTGACACACTGCATTTATATATAACATAGTTACACATTCATCATCTCATGTTTTATTGCTGAAATGTTCTTCCTATCATACCTACATATTTGATTTTTTTGTGAAGTTTGCAAATACATTTTAGGAAAATGAGGAAGTTATTATTATTTCTCACCTTCATAATGATTTGACCTATATTATATGTATGTAAATTGTGTGAAAATCAAAGATTATAGACATATTCAGCTCATTTTTCAAATGAGTTCTTAAGGAAATATTGCAGTTCTATGAGTTGTGATATAAATAAAATATTGCTATCTCTGTGGCTGGATAAAACAGTTTTTTCATTCCATTACCATACCAAAAAACATGTATTCAAGTATATTCACCACCTGTTTTGCGGAAGTCGCTCCGATAAACAACCAGTGTTAAGTACATAATAACATCTGCAAACACTTGGGATGAAATATCAAGAAATTACACGAAATTTCTTCAAAACTTTGCTTGGGTTGAAACTTCACCTAATAGTTCACTAGAACTTAGACACTTATCTTTCAATTATTTATAATTATATATAAATTCAAATATACCCTGTGTGGTCTATGATTACAGTTTACTGTAAAGACTGCTTGCGCCATCTGAAACGGCGCTGATCTCTCCTAATAAAGTTAGCCATGAATCCCTCATTTTTTCCCAAACTTTTGCAGGTATGAGTACTTAGATGCACCAGGGTATTTAGACATTGTTGTGAAATAATTTCACATCTAGTATTGAAGTTGAAATTGTTCATTGTTTTATATAGTTACCATTATAAGTGTCAGTTTTGTTCTGAATAAAAAAGCAAACAAGTCAAATAGAATCTTATTTTACCGAAAATAAGAAGTTTGGTCCTTCGAGTTATGTTCAGTACTTTTTTTTCGAGTTGAAGACGCATTCTAAGAAGGAAAATATCAACTGTTGTTGATAAACATTTTGGAGAGCAATATTCCAAAAAAATAGAGAATTTCGTTGAAAAAGGATACGCAAAAGTTTTGACTTGCGAAGAAGCCGCCGTTACGTCTCACCAAACCTGGTATTTGCCACACTTTGCAGTGAAACATCCTAATAAACCACGAAAATTCAGATTTGTATTTGATGCCAGAGCCAAAATAGATGGAATCAATGTGAACGAAAATTTATTGAAAAGTCCTGACCTTTTGAATTCCTTAGTAAACATTTCATTCAATTTTCGTCAAAATCGAATAGCAGTGATGTTTCAGAAGGATACATCGTCATTATTGCGGATGAGTTTTTCAGAAACTCATGGCCAAGAGGAAAAGTTACGCGAATTTTTCCTGGTCCCGATGGCAGAGTACGGGTAGTTGAAGTGACTACACTAACAGGAGTTTATCGTCGTGCCATCACAAAAATAATTTTTTTGAAGCCATAGGAGTAATTTGCGAGCCCCGGAGGATGTTGTGAATTAATTTTACATTTAGTATTGAAGTTGAGATTGTTTATTGTTTTATATAGTTACCATTATTATTGTCAGTTTTGTTTTGAATAAAAAAGCAAAAAAGTCAAATAGAATCTTATTTTGTCGAAAATAAGAAGTTTGCCCAAATATACATCTTAGGATAACCTCAAGTATTCGGATATATGATGAGTATTTGTTGACTTCCAAGACGACAGCAACAAGTATTTACCAATTTAGGCAGTGAACGTGGTCGTCATTGTCATTGTCATAGAGGTGCATATATTTTATATTCTCGAACCGTTATTTCACAATTTTTTAGAAATGGATAATTTGGAATTCGACATGAAAATATTGATTTTGCCATTATTCAACAAAGTGATGTTTTAGAGCTAAGAAGTATACCTAACATCATTGGTTATCGATAAAGGTTATGAAATTGAAAAAATATTTATGACTTCTATACGATATAGTGAATTCATTCAAGTAATTTCATCGGACAAGAAAAGTAATAGGTACTTTTCAGTAAACGGTTTTATTCAGCTTGCACTAATTGTTTGTTTGTTTCGGTCGAATTTAGTATTCGGAGTTTTACCCCCTTCCTGTTGACAGATTGATATTTGGTAGACACATTTAGTTTTGATGACAATAAAATTCAATGAATTCTGTATCATATTTTTTCATAACTACCTCAAATTGGGTATCAAATGGCAGGACTCGACTAGAAAATTGGTAGTTCACTTCAAAAAAGATGCAAATTCAAGATGGTCTCAGCTACAAAATGGCGGATTACATATTTTTCACAACTACCTCAATATGGGTATGAAATGACAGAGCTTAACTAGAACGATAGTAGTAAACTTTAAAAAAGATGCAAATTCGAGATAACTGCAGCTACAACATGACGGATTACATATTTTCTCAAAAATACCTCAGTATGGGTATCGAATGCCAGACTTGACAAGTACTATAACAGTACACTAAGGACATTCATCATTGTTGAAAGTGTGATATTTATACCACTCCAGGAGCAGGTTACCTTTGGAAAACAGTACTACTGTTTGGCTGAACCACTTACGAAGAACCTATATCGTATTGCTGGCAGCTCGACCTGGCTATTCGTAAACTCCATGACAAGCAAGATCTTTCCTCATATATTTGTACCAGACATAAAACTCAGGAAACAAACTAAAACTGTAACAATCAATAAAGGGATGCTGAAACGTAAACCGTGAATAATTCATAAGTTTGCAACTAACCAAGGTTACCTGCCTCATCACTGTGAACCAAAAGTATACTTCTTGACCACAAGCTACACCGTCTACGTAATTGAAGGAAATATATTATACAATTCTCGGTTGAGAATTCTTTTACCCAGCATTCCTCCGATGAGCTCCGGCATTTGAATCCCAGCTCAAAGAATGTAACACCTTTTTTCGCTAAGATCGAGGCTTGTTACAATGGTATCAAATGATAGATCTTGACCAGTCGAATAGTTGTAGACTTTGGACGAGATGCGAATTCAAGATGACCGCAGCTACAAAACGGCGGATTAAATATTTTTTCACACCTCAATATGGGTATCAAAACATGTCTTGACTACTAGAATAGTAGTATACTGTGGACAAGATGCGAATTCAAGATGACCGCAGCTACAAAATGGCGGATTACATATTCCTTCACAACTACCTCAATATGGGTATCAAATGACAAGGCTAGACTAGTACTCTTTGGAAAAGATGCGAATTCAAAATGGCCGCAACTACGAAATGACGGATTACATATTACTTTGTAATACTGAGGCTCTAAATGAACTAGAATAAATGGGAAAAATTGAGTTACTGAATTGAGAACTGAAAACTTGAAAATGAAATAGGTAACAAAAATTCTTTATATTAAACTGTAAAAAAAATATATCAATGATGTAGATAATGTACTGAAAACTAAAAATTTACTCGGAATGTCCTAGGTAGCGGTCATCACTCTACTCTCCTCAGCAATCGTTGGGCGTAGTATTCACATATTCAAACAGGTTACATTACGCCCAAACTACTCAATTCAAGCTACACGGTCAAGTTCAGCTACCAAGCAGAGTAAAGTTGAATGGATGTACATATTTTACTATTGGTGAAGTTAGTCAATTTCAAAATGGTGTTTACTGAATAGCACATGTCAGAGAAGATAAAATCATTGTGCAAAACAATGTTGAGTTTTTTTAATTGCAAACTATGATATTTAGGACTTCCTTTTCTAAATCCGTCAATGACTACATATTGAAATCAGTTGTTGCTGTTGACATGTCAGGTGCACTAACACTGAAATAAACCTGTACAATGTAATGTCAACAGGAGAAATAATTCCGATTTGACAGAGAATGGAATTAAAAATAATAAAAAAACGGTTATTCTGGATATTTTGATATTAAAAAAAATACGTTCAATATAGACAATCATAACTTCAGTTATGACTGTTTGATATATTTTCATGTGAGTGGAAATGTATATGAATGTTCTTTCATTATATCATGTTCTTCAGCGTTCCTGTAAATGAAACCTTTTTCAATGGGTAATTCAATGCTCATCAGAAAGTAATTGTTTTCAGAAGGCTTTTCATTCCAGTTTGATTCTGATACTTTTGCGCATCTTGAAATCAAT